TCACCGAAAGAGGAGACCTTCGTTTGTTCCTTACGAAAATCGAACCAGATATCAAATATTTAGTCTCGAATCATCAACCTCAAGGATCTCATTAATCACCAGTAAAGGTAATTTCAATTTACTTTATTGTTTTCTCATTAAACTTTATAAAGTTAAAAACATTATAAACATGCATTAAGTAGAAATAAAAAGATAAATGTACGTACATTTATTTATTTTTTTAAAACTCTCTCCTTTCTAAAAAATATTTCCGCACTTGCGTGAAAACTGGTGGGCGGTAAGGACATTTTTCCATAAAGAAAGATGCATTAGTGGGCGGTAGGAAGAAAAAGGTTGACTACCACTGGGGTAGAGTGTAATTGGACAGGAGTAACACTTCTCCTCCCTCCATACCAATTCATGCTAGTGATAGGCTGAGAGTACTCTAGTGACACTCTCAGTCTGTCACTGCCTGCTAACTCCAGGTATGGCACAACACAGAATGTATTGAAACAAAAAGAGAAGAAGATACTGTATATACTCGAGTATAAGTAAACCCGAATATAAGCCGAGGCCCCTAATTTTACCACAAAAAAATGGGAAAACGTATTGACTCGAGTATAAGCCTAATGTGGGAAATGCAGCATCTACTGGTAAATTTCTAAATAAAATTAGATCCCCATAAAATTACATTAATTGAATATTTATTAACAGTGTGTGTATATAATGAATGCAGTGTGTGTATATAATGCAGTGTGTTTGTGTGAATTCAGTGTGTGTGTGTGTGTGTTTGTGTAGTGTGTGTAAACTGGTGAAGGGAGGGCATTTTTATTATTTTAATATTATTACTATATTTTAATATTATTTTATTTTAATATTACTATTATTTTAATATTTGTATTATTTTGTATTAAATAGTTTTTTGTCCCCCTCCCTGCTTGTTGCCTGGCCAGGGAGGGGGGCTATGTTAATCCCTGGTGGTCCAGTGGATGGGCTGTGCAGTGGGGGGGCTGGCAGAGAGCTGTTACTTACTTTCCTGCAGCTCCGTTCTACTTACAGTGTAAGTCTCGTGGTCTATGAGCCACGCGGAGCGTTGCCACGGTAACCCGTGGCAATGCTCTGACGGCCACGGGTGTCGCAAGACTTACACTGTAAGCAGAACAGAGCTGACAGGGGAGCTGCACGGAGGAGAAGGGAGCTGACAGGAAGGTAAGTAACAGCTCGCTGCCAGCCCCCAACAGGACCGCCGGGCTTGTAATGAGCCCGGCGGTCCTGGTCTGTATTATGGCAATGTAAGTTGCCATAATACAGACAGTGACTCCAGTATAAGCACAAGTGGGGGGTTTTCAGCACAAAAAATGTGCTGAAAAACTCGGCTTATACTAGAGTATATACGGTAAGAAAAAAAAAGCTTGGAGAAACTCAGTAACTTCAAGTGTCCAAAAAAAAAAAAATCCCACCCATAAGGACAGTCCAGAACCGAAATACCAGCAAGTTCTCGCTGCAAAAGAAATACAGCAACCTCGGACGATCCTGTCAGCATTCTTTGGGCCCCGCAAACGAGGTGTAGCCAATGCCCCTCTAGGTACAGTGAGCATGGCATATGCATTTTGCCGCCCCCCACCAATGCATCTTCACCTGTGTGATTCTTAAGCACTCTTTCTCATAGTTTCTTGCCCCCTTTTGTGTGTTTTTCCCCTTCTCTCGTGTTTTGCACCAACTTTAGTGTATCTTATACCCCACATTTCCCCAGTGTGTGTCTTACCTTCCACTTCTATATCTGTGCACCTCTAACTTTCCTCCAAGCCCCTTTGTTTGTCTCTCATTTCTCCCACGGCCCCTGTCTCTTTTCCTCCAGCACCTTTGTTTGTATTTTTCTTCCCTGCAGACCCTGTGTACCTTTTTCCTCATCCCTATTTGTGTCTTTTTCTCCCCTTCTGTCTCCTTCTCCCCCGACCCCTTTGTGTCTCTTTTCCGCTTCCTCTCTGTCTCTCTCACAGGCCCTTCTGTGTGTCTCCCCCCACAGCTCAGTTTGTGTGTCTCTCCCCCCACAGTCCCTTTTGTATTACCCTTCCCCAAATCCCCTTTTGTCTGTCTCTTTCTCCCCTCCCCCAGCCTATGTGTCTTTTTCCCCTCTGTGTTCCCACCCTGGCCAGGTGTGTCTTTCTCAGTCTATATTGTATGTTTCTTACCCCCCACCCAATGTGTGTCTCTTTCTCTCCTTCCTCTGCACCTTTCGTATTTCTCCTTCTCCCATTTTGTGTTTCTCCCCTGTGGTCTCTTTCCCTTTTCTCCTTGTAGTGCATTCGTGCAGACTGAGGTAGAGGATCTTTTATCCTCTGTCGGTCTGAAAGGAAGCTGTTTGTTGCTCCCAGTAAGCATGTCCTGTTAGAACGGTTAGAGGATTCAGAAGAACATCTACCGTGATCCGCTCAGCCGCGCTACACGAAGGGGGAGCACTGCGAGCTTCCTTCTTGTAGGACACACTAAACATTACAGCTGCCTTTTTGTGATAGCTCCAAGTAGCACATTAGAGAGGCCCTGAATGTCAAGTTACTTCTATGCAGTTTGTAATGAAACTGAATTATTGCATCTAGAGACTATAGTGCACATAACCACTTCATTGAGCTGTAGTGGTTGCAGGCTAAATTTACATTGTAAAAAAAATGCATGCCGAGCTACATAGGAATATTATGGGGCTTTTACAACTAAAACAAAAATTGGGCTATGTGGATCCACAAAATAATACAGGCCGAAGTACTGTTGATCTACCAAATTAAAACGTGATCCTTGCCCAAGAAAAGTAAAATATTGGTGGCACTCCCAATCCCAGCTTCAAACCAGCCACCAGCCAAACATCTCCCACCAGGTTCAGCTATTATCACATACACACCATGTACACCTTTCCCCAAATCTACCCAATCCTTGACATCACCCTGCATTCTGTCAATCAGACCCAGGCCTGCCAGCCCATCTAGGTTTCAGGTGCAAGGGCAACACGTGACAAGCTCTGCTCTGCAATACCCAGACTCTATGTGAAGCAGGACACAGTGGCTCTACGCTGTGTTCTGGAGACAGTGCTCACGCTCCTCCCCCGGCGCGGAACGTGGTGCGCGCTCCAAGATGACGTGATATATCCCCATTCCATTCCGAACCTCCCATGCGGTTCTGCGCGGTAACCCTGGGCCACGTGTGGATTGGGCGACTTTACAGACATCCTGCTCCCTGGTAGCAGCACAGAGACAGCCATTGATCCCCTAATTTAATACTCTGCTCCCATGGCGTCATCTACCAGAGGGGACAAATAACAGCCGCTTTATAACTGCTCCCCGTGCGGTCCCTTGTTATGTGTTACTTGCAAGGTATCCTGGGAGTTGTAGTTCTCTCACAGCTGGGGCAGGCTGGCCTCCCTCTGTGCTATAAGCCGTACAGTGAGGAGCACTGTGTGCTGAGCTCTCTCCCCTGGGCGGTTTAGTGAGGGCGGGTCATTAGACAGCTGATAAAGACCCAGAGCACGCCACCCCCCCCCCACCCCCCGGGCCAGCAGTCAGTCAGTCCATCCATAGTGTCCATGGCTTCCCAGCTGCTCCTGGCACTGGCCCTGCTGGCTACCTGTGCGGCCCAGGATGGAGAGTACTGCCACGGCTGGGCGGACAGCCAGGGGACTTGGCACCACGGCTTCCAGTGCCCGGAGAGGTATGACCCCCAGGAGGCCGCCTTCTGCTGCGGGTCCTGTGCCCTGAGATACTGCTGCACGGAGATCGAGGCCAGGCTGGACCAGGGACCGTGCCCCAGCGAGGAGAGAGGGCCCCTGCCAGGAGTGCCAACCATGGAGCTGGCAGCACCAGGTGAGAGACACAGCATGCTGGAGGGGGCACAGGGCAGGCCGGCCTTATAGAAAAGCTTTCAGGCTGGTGTTCATCGCGTGAAAAGTGTTGCCCCTAATGATACCGTCCTGTAGATGGTGGGGATCCTTCCCTGGTACATTGCTTTAGGCACACCTTTTATTTTTTTATTTTTAGCAATTTACAATGTGAGCGGGCTTGTTTAAATAGGATTAGTCACTAAAGTGTAAAATGTTGGGCTTTCAGAAAAATAATGTAATGTGAATTTCAGAATTTTGGCAAAAATTGCCAATGTGGAAAACGTTGTTCAAGTTATGTTTTCTATTTTGGTTGTTTTGGCCTATCATTTGAATTCACTTTGCATATCCAACAACTTACTCTTTGGTGAATAAACCTTTCCAGCCAGCTTTTTTTTTTTTTTAAAAGATGTTTCAAACTTAAACTACACCCCACGGTATAGTTTTCAATGTAACATCGACATTACTTTTCATGAAACCATGGTCCTCTTACTGGTTAATGTTCAGAGCGATGTTCTGGCTGTAAACATTATAAGCATGAAATAAGAGACTGAATGGACTACTTTTTTATTTATTTTTATTTGCTTGTACATAATTGTTGACATTCTACAGCCAATTGTTGAATGTAAAGTGGATGTCTGTTGGTAAATGAAATATGCATTCTTGAACTGAAAAGCAACTCACCATGTGTTTTTTTTTTTTTAACCAATACAATCCAATGAAAGAAAAATCTTTATTGCGCTAGTTTGTGGTGAAGTCAAGATTTTTACAAAGACTGTTTAGTGAAAAAAACTTTGTGGTTTTGTCCTAAAACTAGAATGTAGTAATTTTGGAAACTGAATAGCAAAATTTGGGCTAAATTGCCAAGCTGTGACTAGCAGAGTTGAGATTTTTTCCAACTATTTTGACCTACTACAATTTGACTTGAATAAACTCTCAACATTTGAATTTGGTGCTCTGATACCTCAATTAGAACCTGTATTGTGGTCTGTCTTATTTAGAACAAATCTAGTTTTTCTTGTCTTCATTGTATTTGTTTTGGTAACTTGGTATTGATTTTTCTTGCAAAAATGTATTCGTGTTCAAATGTTAAAGTCTAACATTTTTGATTGCAGTGCCCACATACTTACCTTTTCTATTGGTTGGGAGTGTTTTCGTGATGTTTGTCATACTGGGTTCCCTGGTCGGTGTTTGCTGTTGTAAATGTCTGAAACCTAACATTGAGACACAAGGAACTGGACCCACATCCACCCAGAGCCGCCTCCTGTCCACAGATCAATCTAGAGACCTCTCTAGGAATTCAGGTTCCAGCTCAAGCTTAGCACCTCGGGCATCTCTGGCCATCCGCCCTCAAAACATCAGTTCTCTGGGTGCTGAAAACCATAACATGTATATTAATATGCCTACAACCTTCTCCACAATGGGGTTCGCTCAGGGTGCTCAATTTATGTGCCCACCAACAGCTGGCACTCCTTTCATGAACTATGGTGTGCCACCTGAACACAGTATAATGTTAACGCCTGCTACTTACATTGATGTTAGGAGCTGCTATGGACAGTCTTTAAATCCTTATGGACACAATTTAAATACATATCCTCCAGTGACCCAACAGACTGAGTATATCATGGCAAATGAATCACCCACAAAATGTTGAGTATTGTTGCAGTAAAAATGATGAGAGTAACTTTAACATGCTCACTATCTTGAGACATCAGTGGACTTCTAATGAATGTGATTACGGAGACTTTGCCATAAATATTGAGTCCGCTTCATTCTAATGCTGCTTCAGTTGTTTTGGTCTATCTTTAGCTACATCTGGAAGAAGTGACAACAGATGTCAGTTTGTTTAGTGAACTACTTAACTGTTATATGCAGTGCTAAAGTGTGCTTAAAACTGTCGTGTAAGGAAAAACATGACTACTGTGTATTTATGAAAATCCCTTGTCTATAAAAAAGAAACATTTCTAGGCCATACACGAATGTAAATTTTTTTATTTATTTTTTTTAATTCAGGAAGTTTGGATGAGAAATATTTTGACGTTGTTACTGTCTAAGTTTGTCTTAATATTGCTGTGAAGTGGTTTTTTTTTTTTTTAAATTGAGTCAATTTCCTTGATTTTAAAAATGACTACGCAAGTTAACCTATTTCATGAAAAATTTCATAAAAAGGGTATAATTCTATTAGTTTTTGTATATAAACATTTTTATTTTATTTTTTTTGATACCTTGCGTAAGCTGAATATTAAGAAGGGTTATTAAATAAAGTGTGGATTGTCAGGAAGTCAAAGTATATTTCAAGTTTTAGGCCAATATAGCTGAAAATGAAAATGATCACGGTGTTTTCATTTCTGGCCTAAAATGTAAAATTCAGTTTCCATTCCTGACAGTTTACAATTTGATAAATAATCCTGTGTTATAGTTGCACTCAAACTTGTAAAGTGATTCCTTAAAGCAAAGGTTGACTAACCCTCAGTCATGAGTCATTGCTCATAAAATTCTTATGACACAATCTTTTTTTTTTTTTTTTTTTATATTCTATCGATATTTCTCAACATCTGATCCTACTATTCTTCTCAGTGGGGTAGCGCCATCCACAAATACCTAAAATGTTGTCCTTGAACGCAAAACTAATGGCAACAAACCATGGGCAGCAGATAAAAATAGGGCAAAAAAACCTCCTGTATTGTAGGATGAAAATGTATTAATCAAGGCAATTACTTTATTATGATTCCTCTGATTTATTCATCTACTTTATGCAACATAGGAAATCTACATACTTAGGTAGCACATTTTTAAGTGACACAAGATGTAGGTCTACTATAGACATCGAAAAAGGGTGAAACTTTGTTGTGACTTGTGGGCTATGATGTGGCGTGTGAAATGTTTTTCAGCTTTTTATTTTTATTGTGTATTCTGTGAATCGTGATAGAACTGTATATTTTGTGTAATGTGCATTTGCTTCTGTAAAAAAGGAGCCTCCTGTTTTATTTTAACAATGTTAAATGCACTTTTTAAAACAATAAAACAGGATTCGTTTTTAATGTTTTATTTTATTTTGAAATACAGATGCAATACAGTTAGTGACCCTTACACTACTGATACTTCTAAAAGGCAGCAGAACAAGCCATGCTTTCTAGTTTTATTGTGATGATGGCCCTATAATGTGTATATTGTAATGCTTTATGCCTGTTCTCATTATGTCCCTTATTGTCTGCATACTTGTAGATTTAGGTTCCCCATGAAAGGTTTCAGTGCCAGAGGGGTGAGGGATACACTGTTTGACTGTTTTGCAGGGAAAGGTTTAACATTTAAGAATTGTAATTACCTGCTGACTGTGGGTATCTAATTATCTGAGAACAATTGTAAGTTAATTGAAGGGCAACTTTGCTTAACAGCTTAATGGTAATCATTGCTTTTCACTAATACACACATACTTTCCAAATTAACCTTTTGTTATAATTTTATTTACAAAAAGTCAATAGACGTGCAACGAGTAGCCTAGAGTGTTTCCCCCAAGAGGACTCTCTGAAAACAGATTACCACATGTAGCATAATTACTGTATACTGTGTATACTCAGAGCGACAGAAAACTTCTCTCTCTCTTTGTCTCCTCCCCCCTTTAGGAATAAAAGGCAGTTTCCAAGGGTCTCAATATTATCTACCTATTCAAACACTGGGAACTATTATGTACTACACCATATTTTATTATTTATTTTATATGGTAAAAGTATTATCTGACTATTTTAGATTTGTATATATTATACCTACATTGGTTTTTATTATTCACTGTATGCTGTTTAATGTTTTGGAGTGACACCATAGTGTGTGTAAATTGCTGCTTGCATTAGCCACTGCTGCACATTTTTGTGTATTCTCCATTAACCCTTTCTCGCCTTTCCCAAGTTTCCTACTTCAGCACCACAATTAGGAAAGTTGTGAATCATGCAGAGTGGAATAATTACCATTGACTTTCGTGTAAATCGCTTGATTTTTCTATTAGTGACCATTTTAAAATAGTCCTTGGATTTGACTGTGTAATATATGCATAGTATTAATTAAATATCAATAGGTGGTATTCTGTACTAAGCGTTCATTCTGATCAGATGGTTCAACAGACAAAGTATTGCTTTAAATAGTACAATTCAGATATCAGGCTCACTAATGAGCCTTAGGTATCATTCTTTAAAATCTCAAGAGTTTTCATTTATCCCTTTAATTTTCTGCTTATGTCCTTCTTGTGAGATGTATCACACAATGCAACGTGGAGCTGCTGGTATAATTGCGTAAATGTGTTAAATGGAAAATGTTTGTTTACACAAAAACCCTTTAAGAAAATTGTAGTTGGGAACAAGTTGTAGAAGCTAATGACATTAACGTAGGCAAAAAAGCACACTATGTAAATATTCAGTGTCCTCTACCATCACAGAATGTGCACTTAATCTTTCCTATGCAAAAGAAGTATGTCATTCATTGAATAGTACTTTTAAAAAAAAAAAGTTAAATCATTGCTTTACAAGCATCATTTTAAATACTGTAACAATGTGTGAATGCCAACACCCCTCTGTCTATTGTAAAGTGGATCTGTCACCTCTTGGGGTCTTTGCATAATTTGCAAACACCCCTTGCCGTGACATTGCCACTCAGGGTACAGTGATCAGCAGGGCAAGCTAAGGTGATATTTACTTACCTATGTCTGTCCCCAACAGACGATGCCATCTTGGTCCACCACATTTTTCAGCTCCTGGCGCTTCAGCTGCTTGGAGCCTATGACAGCGCTGTACTGTCACGCATGTACCATTGAGGTATGTGGGGGATGCTGCAAGACTGGGATCCTCCGTAGAAAGTCACTGGTGACTACAGGCTGATATAACCAGGCTCGATGACTAAAGCTCTGCCTAGTGTCAGGCCGTGGAAAAATACTAAAACAAAGTAGTTCCTACTTTGTCTCCGTATATCTTTTGAGTGGGTTAAAATTTTAGTGATATTCCAACACAGTCCAAATGAGAATTTCATAAAGAGTAAGGGGGTGAGAGTGTGACAGTGCCACTTTCAGTTGTCTTATAATTGCACGAATTCATAAAAGTTACTGGTTTTATAAAACTGCTCTATGGAGCAATGACATCAAGGTGGTAATTTAATTCATCCCTTACCAACAAACTTCTGTTAACTTGTGTGTGCAACTCTCCTTGTGTCTTCAGAGATCCTGCACTGCAGCCTTGTACATATGCTTTTAGCAGCTCGTTGGATCACTGTAGTCGGTCCAGTTTGCAAAATTGTGAACTGGGCTGTGAACAGCATTGCCGATATTACATATCATAGGGTGCATGGGCCACCCTATGGGCCCCTGTGCAGTGCACCGGCGTAGATTTGCCTCTGCTTCTTTCAGAGAAACCAAACCAGAAAGCTCTGCGTAAGACAATTGATCCTTGTGTCAAATCATCAGTAAGAGTTAAAGGGTTACTTCAAGCATCATAACCACTACAGCCCACAATGTAGGGTTGTGATGCCAAGTGTAACCTAGCCACCATTCCCTGGTAATGGGACTAATCATTTTGCAACAGTTTACCTTCCTACCTGGGTTCTACCAGGCCCATAGCCTCCCCTAATGGCAAGTGACGTATCCAGATTTTGCCGATCTCCAGCAACAAGATGCTGATCCTGCTGGTCATTTGTTGACTGATTAATAACCTTCTGTGTAACATATCTGCATAGACTTGAAATTGGCCAGTTCAGAATTCTTGTTACACCTCCGACAGCAAATAAAATCTGTATGTGTATTGTTTTAAACTTAAATGAAAATGCATGTACAGACTCCAAGAACCATGGCCACTTCAAAAAATGTAAGTGTTCATGGCGCTTGGTGTAGAAAGTCAATACTTGAACACATTTTTACATCTCGCCCTAAGATAAAAATAAATATAAAATGCAAAATACAAAGTCCATGGCAACTCCTTGAAAAGTGCACATTTATTTTAGTTTTTTCTCCTTTTTGCATGGGAAATTACATTGTTTTGCTACATATTCAGTGAATGCCACCGTTTCTTTGTTACATCTGATGTAATAATAAAGTGAAGATGTATATTGCATCCCCCATGTTCCCTGAAGGCATATAAAAGAAATAATGAACACACCCTTACAGCTTAGCCTCATACAAGGGATGAGATTAACACATTTATTAAACCTCTTTGTTTTTATGCTAATGATTTCCTTTAAATATGCCTTTTAATCCAAGACAAACAACATGTTGTTAGCAAGGCTTAATTGTCTGTCTACCTTGCTTTGTGTTCATTTATTTTCTTGTGGTAATCCTCAAACTCAGTCAAGACATAATCACATTCATTATTCCCTATTTGTAGAGCGAGGGAATTGAGCAAACTCGTTTGAAGTTTAGAAAAATATATATACATAAACTATAATATCATGTTTTTGACTGTTTTCCAAGATTATCAAACAATTTCAGTTTTTAGATTCCATAGCATTTACAACGTTTCTCCTGCACTCCAGTGCTGTTTTAAGGTTAGAAGAGGCACTGAGCAACACATGAACGCACAAAACATCATAACACCTAAGTAATGAATACTGTTTTGTTTTAACATGTTACTGTTGTTTAAAAAGTTTTTGCTATTGCTCGACCCAAAACGGTGCAAACCATGA